GTATGTATATATATATATATATATGTTTATATATGTATAATATATATATGTTTATAATGTTTATATATGTATAATATATACATCTATACATATATTAATTTTCTACAAATATTTAAATTTATTATGGGTCTTCATCAATAAATTAAAATATTGTTGAATAGATTTTTTATTTTTATTCATTATTTTCATTATCGGATACATCAGTAATTACTGTGGTTGATTGTAAGACCGAGACAATAGGCTTATGGTATGAGAAATGAGATACATATGTTTTCGAATGAAAATTAGAAAGATATCTAGAGAAAACTGCATCGATTGTTGTTCCATATCTTGTGGTAGGCTCATTTCGGTTGTTATTCACTTTATTCATTTGTAGTTCTAATTTATCTTGCAGAAAGATTACCAAGAATTGTCCATCTTCGGACGCGAAATTAACATTAAAATCTCCTGCTAAAATTAGTGGCTTTTCTCCTAATTCTTCAGAGCCTACTCGACCGTAAATCATAAGTCTTTTATAAAAAAAACTTTATAATATTATTAACTGTGTTATTGGGCGAAATATAAATAACTACCATTATGATGTTTGTTCTATCGTCCAAAACACAGTGAGCAGGACATATATCACCAATTGATGATTGACCAATATCGATTTTACGAAAATATCGTAATAAAATGTCCATGTTCGAAGTTACTAATTCACAAAATATGAACTTTAAAATGAATTTACAATTTTATTCACTTTAAACGTAGAATATTAAATGTATTGAACAAACTATTAGTTTATAAAAGTTCAAGAGCGAAATGAAATTACGAAATAATCAAGAAATCACAGTTCGCGTAACGCTAGCAAAATCGCTAACGAACTACTGACTGAAATTTCTATCTTCACTAACTTATATCTACCTCTCAACTTCCGTTCGTCTCGCTCGATCACACTTTTCGTAACGCTCTCGATATGCATTCACCAGCTTACTCCCCAAGTCAAGTGCGCGTAAGAAGTTTTAATTAAAAATAAATCTACACGTGTGTTTTTCGTATTTTTATCACAGTCCGAAATTTTATATAACTCCAAGTCTAATCCCTCCAATTTCGATACGCATGTTATTAAATTTAATTTCGTAAAAAAACTAGTATAAAATTTTATTGTACTATCAAAACACTCTACAAAATATATAGTGGTGACCAAAATTGTGGACACTTGAAAATTGGTAGGTTTTTTAAGTTTGTATGCTTATAGAAGATGTTACATTGCACAAAATGCAAAGTTTTTAATATCATTTTAAAGAGAATTTAATACTAAATTTAATTCAAATATTTGCATCTCAAAAAAGGTTATACAGCAATATCTATCGGTATACATTAGATATTGATGATAGCAGTGAATTATGAATACTTAGTGGGGCAGCCTTTATTTTTTATTACAGCTTCAGAATAAAGTTCCATTGAGCCGAAAATAGTTTTAAGCTTTTCCTTTGTTATTACCTGATGCCAGGGAACAATTATATCCTAAATTAGTTCCTTTTTTCTCTATTTTGTCTTTTTGAGAAGCTCATTTCAGCGTAATGAAAAATGTGTACTTTAATTGTATGAAAAATTTCAAGCATGTACATATAACAGAATTAGAGAAAAGGTACATAAAAAACACCCAATTTAACATTGTTGGTATGAAGATTCTCTACTCCTCCTAAAGTTTGTAAAGTCATAAAACAAAAGTTTATATTGCCCGTAAAGCTATAATTTTTCAATATGTTATTTTCCAATGTATGTTCTACGTTAAAACACTCTTTTAATTAAATATGACTGAAAATAATATGTTTAATTCAAAATAAGACGACAGTTTATTCAGCTTAATCTTAACCTAATATTTTCACGAAGTTTTGAAACATAAAGCATTTATGTACAAAATAATAATGAAACTAATTTAAGCTAAAAATTGCCAGGTTTGTACATAAAATTGTATTTTTTTCAGTTCTAAATTGGGGCAGTTTAGGAAGTTTTAGTCATGTCGTTCGACTTCAAAATACTGAAATATAGTACTACAATATGTTTAGTACAATGTAGTTTGGTACATAAAAAAAAGAAATATTCAGTTATATCTGCAACCTTGAATTCAGAATACTTGTGTTCGGAAGTCTAATGGCAGTATAAGCTGGCGACTGATTTTTAGATACATCATTTTCAGTAGTATTCCATTTCTTTGAAATATTGTTTAAGTTATATTAACTATTTTTAAAGCAAAAATTGACCATGAAATTAATTTTGATTATTTAATTATGAGAGCTCAAAAAAATGAAAATATAATTAAGCAGAAATGATTATAGAAAAGAAAATTCGAATTGATAACCATTTCACACTAAAAGCTCAAAAACATTTTTAATTAATTCAATTTAAGAATGGAAAAATACTTTAAAATGAAACCGAAACCAAAATCATAGCTCATAAAACTTCAAATATCGTAAAAACTAATTTGCTAACAGATCTGAAATTTGCTGGCAAGCTTCTCAATGACATGGACCACTAAAAAATTCAAACAAAAAAAAGTCATTACGAAATTTTTAAAGTACTGAGTAGCCTTAACATAAGATAAATAGTCTCTCTTTTAATAAATTTTTTTTTTTTACTTTAAGAAAATTGCTCATAATTTCAAATTTCATATTAACACATGTAAAATAAAGATGAATTATATTTTAAATTCGTAATTAACTTAGTTAATGACTGCACAAGATGCATATAAAACGGACAAAATTACTTTTTTTAATGTAACACTAAACGTAATGAGTGCTATGAATTTAAATATATAGTTTTGTTTCACAACACACAAGTATATAACAGTATTATAGTTTCAACGACAATTTACAACTGTCATTTATATATTTCTTAGAATTTTGAAAATATCTTAATAAGTACCGTAAGGAGCGTTCATAACTCACCATTTTATAAAAGAGAAAACGGCAACAATTACTGTAACAATCCACGTGCAAGTGACAGTTTCGAACATTTCTTTACGCTAAAGTGGTCTACTGGTTGATTCCAGAAGAGCTAGTCTGACAGACGATTTATCTCAAATGAATGTTCACTTCTACAACTACTTCAATTGCCCTTCATTCACTCGCTTAACTTTTTTTAGCAAAAGAAAATGTTATCAACGTCACTGCTAAAATGTCTCGTGGGTTACGAAATAAACTTAAATACGTACGTAACTGATGGCTAATTTCTCTCTCTCTCTCTCTCTCTCATTCACACAGCAGAAATATATAATTTTTGGTGTAGTCTTTGCTTTTATAAATCACACAAACTATGTCAGATATGTTACTAAGAATCGTGTAACATATTTGTTGCTATTTTTTTTTACTTCTAATGCGATCGAAATTAATTTTACTACTCTGCTGTTTGTTGTTTTTTTATGTATGCTTAAGTTTCAAAAATTACATCCTGTATTTCATTCGAAAGATGAAAAGAACAACATTATCGCTGTCATTCGATTAAAAACAGTTGATATAAACTGATTATGATAAGATGCCGGATCTATGAAACAAGTATTTGTTTTCGTTTAATTATGTTAAAAACAATTTATCTCCTGCTATTCAGCTATTATTTAAAGTTAAACGTTCTGTTATCATTCGAAAAATAAAGAGTGTGCAAGCTGTTGATAACTGTGGAAGAATACCTTGATTAAAATGTAAATGTTTCTAAAAAATTATTTAGAGAGTAATCCTTATCGCGATAGAATCCTGATTAATTAAAAAAGTTTGTTGGAACGATATCTACGTAACCAACTGTATAATCTTAGAAATATGTTTGTATCTTTTGCTCGATAAACACATTTATTTAATTTAGAATTAATGTATTAAAATGTGTTTATAAGTATTTTATGACTCTTTAAAACGTGTTTCTTAAGGGTTAAGTACTCTGTCTTAACTTATTCTGCTTTTTTTTAAAATTTGTAACAAAATTTTCCCGTAGCAAAAAAAAAAAAAAACTTTTTTTTTTTTTTAAAAGAATTTTTTTTTTTTTTTTTTTTAAAAATTTTTAAAAAAATTTTCCCTTAAAAAAAAAAAAAAAAAACTTTTTTTTTTTTGTAAAAGTCTTTTTGTTGATATTTGATGTCAATGGTATTTAAATAAGTTCACATTCACTATAATAACACATAATTCAATTTAAATGATAATTATTTTTATAATTTGTCTTTTCTGCATATATTTATTCAAACATTATTTTTCCTCTTAATGATTTTAATTCAATAACACACACACACTCAATATTCTATGAAACATTGTTATAATTATATGTTACAAATTTTAAATGGTCAATAAATTATATAGAAGATGGATGGATGTTAAATATATAAAAATTTCATAAAAGGAAAAAAAGAATCGATTAGAAGTGATGCTAGCTCAGAAATAAAATTCAAAAAGTGTTACTTTCAGTACATTGTATTTGTAGAGAAAGAAGCATATTTGCTCTATCTTATTTTATAGTAGCCCTCATCACACATCGACTTAGTGTGTTTTTCATCTTGCGATCGTCTGCCGGGTGAGATTCTCAAGCACATTTTAAGGGGATTGCCATATTCTCCTCAGGACCCATGGTCGGTTTGCCACAGAGTATATTCCCACACAGCGCGACTGGGGGTAACAACCCAATGAAACGACACCAGTTCAAAATTTTATAAACATTACTTTTTTTTTTTCGCCACCGAATAACAAACATTTTTCTTTTTCATTTCCTACTATTAGTTCAAACTCTCCCTATATATATACATTTACATATATATATATATATATATATATCTTGTTCAAATTTTCAATCGTTAATAAAATATTTTTTATTCAACCACTAAAAGTCAAAAACATTTTTTTAAACTTGTAGTGGATAACACTTGGTGTTAATACAGTTTTTTCAAATATTAATGCATTAATTTTTTACTTAATGGATAAATAGTAAAAAACAAAAAAAAAATAGTCCAACACCATATATATATAAAAGAAAATTGCCCGTATGTCCCTATAGCGCAATGGATTGCGCGTTGGACTTCTAATCCAAAGGTCGTGGGCTCGGATCCCACTTGGATGGACTAATTTCTGAGAATGTGTGATTTATTTTTACCATGCTGTTTTATTGCAATAATGAAATTTAATAAATGAATAAATAGTAACAAACAAAAAAAATAATAATCCAGCACCCTTTATAGAAAGGAAAATGGAAAATTGCAGGGAAAATCGCTCTCTACTTTGCCACTTAATATTGTGATTCTGTCCTACGTATATACATATTTATATTAATTGTAATTATTTAATAAAAAGTAACTAAAATAAAAATTTTCTTTTTTGACCTACCTAGGAATTGACTTAATTTTTTTATATTATTTGTTTATATTTTAATTTGTTTGTCGTTTTTCGCTTATTTTTATCTTTTTTGGGGATGGTTGGTTCCTTATTAAGTAACTTGTTCTGGTGGGATAATTCGGGTGTAATTTTTTTTTGTTTCGAAACAAAACTTATCTTCTTCCTCAACAGTTATATCAATTTCTCTCCTTGGATCGTCAAAAGAATCAATAGAATTATTGTTTTCATATAAGAAAACTGATTTTTGAATTTGATTTCCAATTTCGGCTTTGAATTCCAACCATTCATAGTCTGAAGTCACTCTGTAATTTTCTATAATTTGAATCTCCGAATTCATCTTCATCCTTTATACTCCAGTTCTTCTGACCTACATGGTCAGAAACCTTTAGTTGGAGGAGGAGTCAGCAGATTACGATGGTTTTAATACCGTGGGTCACCGGCCATATCTTGTGATCATTTGTCAGGCTAGATTCTCAAACCCTTTCTCGGATGCCATATTCTATACGGGACCCGGTCGTGTTTACGACGTATTGCGTTAATTTAAAACCGGTCTTGAATGACTTCGCTCGGGTACATCATTTCTTTCCGGAAGCTGGATCATAATCAAACTCTTTCTGCACAAAATTTTCATTTTGAAATAACGGAAAATTCCGGCTCCGTTGACTGATTTTCATCTAATTTTACACAATTACTACAATGTGTTAGTTAAGATAAACGATATAGCATAGCATATACAATATTAAAAAAAATTAACAGCATAATTCATAGTGAACAGAAGTACAAGAGCAATTCGGAAAATTTCGAATCGCTGTAAAAAACAAACCAGGACAAAGGGGCAAAAAATTTTTTACAACTCTCCTCTGTTTTTCAACATAGTGTCCTTCATTATTCAAGCTTTTGTTGTACCGTTTTACCAATTTACCACTTCGTTCTATATAAAAAGCGGCAACCTGCGATTTAAACAAACGCGTCACAGCGTTTTTAAGTTCCTCATAGTCTTCATTGAAGTGAACAGATGGTAATAAGAAGGAGCCAAGTCCGGAATGTAGGGAGGACATTGAAACACATTCCATTTGAATTTGCGCAAAACCTCTCGTATTCTTACAGCAGTGTGAGGGCGAGCATTATCGTGCAGAAGCACAACCCCAGTAATCAGTAGGCCACTACGTTTATTCTGGATGGCTCTTTTCAGTTTCTTCAAAGTACGACAGTAATCTTCGGAATTTATTCTTCTTCCCCGTATCATGAATTCGATAAGCAAGATACCTTGAGCATCCCAAAAGACGGTAACTATCAGCTTCCTCGCTGACAAAGTTTGACGGGCTCTCCTCAGCCGGGTAGGAGAACCGGTATAACCCCATGCCATAGACTGTTATTTTGTCTCCGCATTGACATGCGTTACCCAAATTTCGTCACCAGTCACTATTCTGTTCAAAAAAGCCTCCACATCTGTATGTAACCGGGAAAGAAATTCTAAGGCAGCGCCCATTTGACTGGTTTCGTGGATCTCCGTGAGCATTTTCGGTATCCATCGAGCACAAAACTTCCGGTAGCCTAAAGTTCCCGTGACTGCCTCATACAAAAATGTCCAAAAACCGTTCGGAAAGTGTTCTGAAAGTTGGGAGATTGTGAAATTACGAATTTTTTCATCGATTTCTTTGATGAGATCAGCACCCAATACAGACGGCATTCCTCTCCGTGGTTCTTCATGGATGTTCTTTCTTCCGTCCTAGAAAAAACGTATCCATTGACGCAACACCATCATTCATAATGTTGGCCCGTATACGACACACAATTCACAATGGATGTTTGCTGCTGACAGCCTTTTGGCCCAAATAAATCTTATCACTCCTCCCATCTCACATTTAGTGGGATTTTCTATGATGACACACATTTTGTCACGTAATAACTAACAAACTCTTGGCCCTACGACATTCTGACTCACCAACAGGATGCTTACTAAATCAGATTGTCCATGCATTCGATTGAGGGCGTTCCGAACCGTACTTCCAACTCCAAGCCTAAACGGTGGCTAGTTTCCGAATTGCCCTAGTACATTTATATAAAATCAATATTCTATGGAATAATGATGATTTAATGATTAATGATTCCTTTTTGTGTTTTAACTTATCTACTCATACTTTCCTATCTCTCATTGACTGGGTGAAACTTTCTCTCTCTCTGTCTCTTTCTCAACAATTCAAAACAAAACCTAGTTACAAATTTTAGTATTATCCTATCTGACTATTACTAAGTAATATATCTGAAAATTATCCCTTTCCTATTTTCTCATTTTGTCTTTTGTTACAAGGAACTCAGTTGCTTGCAGATTTTTTCTAAATTAATTGAACTAATTTTGTGGTTTACTGGCATAAAATACTATTGGCTGCTCCACCAATCAGAAAATGACCACAGGTCAAAGGATTTAAAAGGTAAAAGGGATATGAGCTTAACATTATTGTCAAGATGTCATTATTTGTTAATTTGGCATTTTTCACAACTCGCTTAAGGCAATATTTCTCAAACTGTGGGGCGCGCCCCCTCAGGGACGCGTGATAAGCCTACGCGCGGGGAGGGCGAGCATATCAAAAATTGAAAAATGAAAGATATAAAATAATTATTAATTTACTGAAAGGAAGCACACACAAAACAAAATACATTCTGACATAATAAAAAATAAATTACGCATTTACACTGATATATTTGTAAGTGTATCAGGAGTGCAAAATATGTGTATTTGATAATTAATTTATCAATATTAAGTTAAAAATAAGTTTAATAATTGCTAGATACTCCCATGGGCTTGTCATTTGCAAAATTATATACAAAATTTAATACTTATATTAATAATTCATATGGTTTATAATTACAATCATACTGCAGCTTTAGCGTCTAAGCACATTATTGTTGCATTCAATACATTGTTATTGTATGGAGGGGGCACGATAAAAGTTGCGACTGAAAATTGGGTTGCAAATATTTAAAGTTTGAGAAGCACTGGCTTAAGGAGATACTTGCAGGATTTGATTCTAGCTTCCTAAAAGCTATGAAAATGTAAGGATTTGAAACGAATAAATTTCCAGTTTATTCATTCACTTCTCAAATATCCAGATAAAACAGTAAGATTTCATAATAAATAATATAAAATATTATAAGTTCCTTATTAATGTCTATAAAATTTTAGCACTATCAGAAGTCACAAGTCGGGCAAAAAACTTTGCTCTGATTTAGTTAAAATTAACGTAATTTGGGAGAGTCGGTTTTTGAGAAAAACATATAATCTAACTTTGACTATCTATTAAAAAATCTATTACACACAACCCCAGGCAAGTAAGGCCCATTCAGTTGAGATTTCAAAATGGTACAACACTTGTTCTTTTCTAAGCATAACAATCATAAAGAATTTTTTTTGTTTTCAGAACAACTTCATTTTAAAAACTCCTATCTCCATACGTTCCATCACATAACTAGGTATTGTAGCCACTTATTACAAAACTTCACAATTATTTGTTCAGTAACATGATCTGTGCATCTTTTCATACAAGGCTGTAATCTTGAAAATGTCCTTAATAATTTTGATTTTATCTCAACCTCATATCCTTCATTGGTATAATGTTCCATTTTCAAAAATATATTCTTTACGCTTATACTTCTTTAATCTACAATTTTGCTATTAAAATGATGGTTCCCTTCTGTCAGGTTTACAATTAACCATCTATCAAGAAAAAACTGTCTTAGAAAGTAAAAACTGAATCGTATACCTAGTTCTATCAATAAAAAATAAGAAAATAACTAATAAAAATAAAGAATTTTGTCTTCCCTCATTCCACTTTCAGTTTGTTGATATCGATAACAAAAATCTTTTTTAAAAGTCCAAAACACTTTGAAAAAGAAAAAAAATTATGATAGCAGTTAAAACTCTTTTTCTTTAAGTCACATTAAAACATTCAACCAACTTTGCCGTCTCTGAGAGAAATTTATTAAACAGAATGAAAAATATGTGAAAAAATTTGAGAGAGGATTATTTGTAAAATTTTTTTCGTATTTTTCTTTTATCCTTTTTTTTTCACACATATGTTCCTTAAAATTTATTGTAAACCAACTAACAATAGGTAATTTGGCGAAACAATTTTGACGAATACATCTATGCATTTATAATTTTATGCAAGTATAAAATTTTAATAGCAGTAGTTTCTTATAATTATTTTTTACAAATCGATAATTAAATTACAATTAAATTGATAAAGGTAGATTAAATTTACAATACTACTTAAAATAAATTTTGAAATGATTGAATTAAAGAACACTTTAAAACATGCTATTTTTATGTAATAGGAATATCACATCTACCAGAATATTTAAAAGTGAAAGAAAACATTATGGTAAGTTTCAATTTTATAATTAGTTTTTCAAAATAAACCTCAATAAATGAAATTTTACTTTTGACGAACCCTTGCGAGCTATCTAAGAGTAAGATTGATGTATTAATAATATTAAGTATTAATTTATTCCTGTGTAATACTATTCTACAACTTATTCTTATTTCCTACGAAAAACATATGAATGACATTCAGCCAAATACGTTATTAATATATTCATTAAAGAAATTTAAAAGAAAACGCATATAATGTTCAAGAGAATATAAAAGCAGTGAAATAAAGAGACTAATACAAATAGTGAAAGTCAAAATTTTATTTTGAGTAAGAGGAATTGACAAGGCTATTGTGAACA